ATTTGAGGTGCAGATATAAATCTGAGGATTTATAAACCATTTAAGATCACCTTAAGAGAATATCTGCATAGAAAATATAAATTTAAACATTTAGAGGGCAGATAGTTTAGGAGGACCCAGTAAAAGTGAAAAAGATCAAACAGTATGGAAGAAGAAAACCAAAAATGTGGGCTATCCAGAAAACCAAAGAAAGAAAGTATTTCAAGGACAAAGTGGTCAACTGCCTTGAATGCTTACCAGCACTCATTTTTAAAAAAAAAATTTACTTATTTGAGAGAGAGAGAAGAAACACAAGCAGGAGGAGAAGAGGGAGAGGAAGAGAGAATCTCATGCAGACTCTGCCTGACTCGGGGCTAGATCCTGGGACCTTGAGATCATGACCTGAGCCGAAACCAATAGTTGGGTGCTTAAAACAACTGCGTCACCAGGCACCACAGCACTCATTTAAGAGAACAGAGAATTTCAATTTTTTTCAGCTTTATTGAGGTATAATTAATGTATAGAAGATGTATGCAGTGATAGGAAGGATTTTAAATTTAGCAGCAGGATATGGAAAAATGCCTTACCTCATGACTTCTTTTTCTGAAGCAGAAGGGAAAATCATTGGCTGAGAAAGAAGGTACAAAATAATCATTGTAGAGAGTGAAAAAGTAAGTTTTCTAGAACATTGAAATAAGATGACCAATTTGGGGTCTGTGATCTTGAATTTAAAGAAAGCCTGTCAGCCTGAAAGCCAGTTCTTTGTGGCCCCTTTTGAAAGAGAGAAATACTGAAAATTGCTCTAGAGAGAGAGCAAGTACAGTAATTGTAGCTCCTTGTTTATATCCATGACAATGTTAAAGAAAATATATAGCTAAAAGAAGTTATAAGTAGCGGGGGCAAAAAGGTGTGAGAGGTTAGATGTGTCAGTATCTTCATCTTACATAGAGTGAGGAGCTACTGTATACTTTTGATAGTTGAAAATTCAAGAAATAGATATTTAAGTACACACATTATTTAAATTACACATTTACTGGGGCACCTGGGTGGCACAGTAGGTTAAGTGTCCGACTCTTGGTTTCCGTTCAGGTCATGATTTCAGGGTCCTGGGATCAAGCCCCGAATCAGGCTCCACACTCAGCTTGGAGTCTGCTTGAGACTCTCTCTCTCTCTCTGCCCCTCCCACTTGTGCTCGCTCTCTTTCTCGCTAATAAATCTTTTTTTTTTAGATTTTGTTCATTTATCTGACAGAGACACAGCGAGAGAGGGAACACAAGCAGGGGGAGTGGGAGAGGGAGAAGCAGTCTTCCCGCTGAGCCAGGCCCCCGGGATCATGACCTGAGCCGAAGGCAGATGCCCAACAACCGAGCCACCTAGGCACCCCTCTAATAAATAAAATCTTAAAAAAGAATTACACATTTACCATGAGAGCACTGAAATACTAGAAAGTAGTTTAAATGATCTAAATCTTCATCTATCTTAAAGACGGGTGAATATACAATGTCAAAAATTGATCAATTAGTGATAGAGATATTTTAAATTATAAATATGGAGGCAATCACCAGATGAAATAAAAACAGTTAAAAGTGATTGCCTATGGTTTCTCATTGAGACTCTATTTGACTTTTCTCATAACAAATGTATGCCTTACTATACTTTAATAAAATTAAAACAAAAACTATTTAAGTATGAATGAAGATCTATGTCCAGACCAACCTTTGATAAAAGTAGGTAGGTTTATGAAAGTGACATTTTTTTCTATCCCCTTCCCAAGCCCTCTTCTTAGCCCTCTGGGTACTGTTTCCTCCCAATATCAAAGGGGTTATACTGCTCTTCTGCCCTGACTTCCTCCCCTCTTCACTAAGGAAAATCTCGTCTCCAGTTGTTTTCCGATTCTCAACTTTGGTAAACACAAAATAAGCCTATTCTTGGGCTCATTCTAAAAATGACTTGTCCTTGGCTCATGGTACAAATCAGTAATAATCTAATAACTGAAATTCTTTTCCTCCTGTTCCCATCCCTGCCAAAATATTCTTTAATGTGTGATCTCATTTAGGAAGAGAGTTTTATGTGCATGTTTTTATTTTGTTGCTTTTTAATATCAGAAACAAAGGTAAGTGGATCAGACTCTTCACTTCATAGTATATTACATTATGGTTCATATAAAGTGCCTTGCATGATGAATTTATCCCATTTTATTTTCACCCCCCACTCTTATTCTCTACTCGGAGAATTTTCATTTTAAATGAGTTCAAAGGAATTAATCTGTATTGGACTGTTAAAGGCACTTGGATAACTTGGGGAAGATTATTTAGAAGTGTGAGAAAGAGGCCTTCCCAAGGGATTTCAAATTATACCATCTTTACAGGGTTCATTTCATTCTTTGTATGTAATGATTCAGCAGTCATTATTAACCCAGGCTGGAATCAGGATAGTTATTGAGATGTTTTCTTATTATTACAAGGTCTACTTAAAGATATAAACAGGGTATAGTGTAATATCCCAATCATGCAGGCGCTTAACAAACTATAGAAATGATTCCTGAAAGTATAGTCTTGCAGGTGCTTAACAAATGTTCTCATGCAATAATGATGCTGTAAAACTTATACAGGTTTGAGGTAAGGATGAATGACTTATTTACTACACAACCTTAATTTCTTTTTACAACACAGATGATACTCATCAAATTGACAGTTTTATATGCTTCATCAACATGTTAGATATGGGATAAACAGGTAGCCCACAATTAATGACAATTATTTCCACTACTAACTGATGCCTAATAATAACATTATGTAACCTACACAATGTAGAACATCTACTACCAAGAAATGCAGCACATTGTTTTATGTTTCCTGTATCTCATTTATTCAATAAAAGTTTTTGTCTGATTAAAAAATGTTATTAGTATTAACACTCATCCAGAAATTCACTACTTAATGCAAGCAATGATTTTCTAGGTAGAGAAAAAAATTGTGATTAGGGCATATTGTGCAACATATTTTTCAATTTTCTTCCAAGAAGTATATGAAATTTCTAACAAAAAATGATGAAATATATTGAATTGAAACCCTTAAAGTCAGGAACTAGCTTTATTTTTTTTTGTATTTTCTTTTGTACTTCCATATAGAGTCTGTACTGTGTATTGTTTTATAGTCATATTTGTATTTTTCTTTAACTTTTATTTTCATTTAAAAAAGATTTTATTTATTTTTTTTTGAGAGAGAGAGAATGAGCAGGGGAGGGGAAGGTGGAGGGGAAGAGGGAGAGGGAAAAGTAGATTCCCTGCTGAGCAGGGAGCCTACCTGAGGCTCAATCCCAGGACCCTGGGATTATGACCTGAGCAGAAGGAAGAGGTTTAACCAACTGAGCTACCCCGGTGCTCCTTTACCTTTTAAAAAATACTCAATTTTGGGGCGCCTGGCTGGCTTAGTTGGTGGAGCCAGCAACTCTTGATCTCAGGATTGTGGATTCAAGCCCCATGTTGGGTGTAGGGATTACTTACAAATAAAATCTTTACAAAAATACTCAATTTTTTTTAAATACTCAATTTTGTTAGGTTTCCTCTCCAAGATTTAAAAAAACCTGGAAGCAAGATCCTATTTGACTTCATCTATGTATATTTCTTGGTAACACGTTAGTGACTTGCTCATAAATATTGCTTAAAGGAATAAATGGCACCTTTCTTTTATATTTGATTTAAAATAACTTCAAAAAGGTTTAGTCAAACATAGTAGTTCCCCTCAAAAAGTTTATTTCTCACCTTCACTATGTGTATCACTAATAGGAATCAGGAAGAACAACTCCACAGCAAGACAGTGAAATGTAAAAAGAATAAAAGAAAGAAAAAGTAATATGGTCTTCTATATTATACTCCCTTAAGACAAAAATAGGGAAGCTATTTTTTGAGTGAAAATAATAGTATGTGTTTTGTGCTGTAGATATTCAATTTTATATTTAAAAAAATACTACTTCGTAAGGCAGTGTAAGTGAATCCTGGCTCTGCAGTTTGTTGTCAGACCTTGGTCCAACTACTTGACTTTGCCGAGCCTTACCTTCTCGGACTGTAAAAAATACAAATATCTACCTCTAGGACTGGTGGTTTAGATAAATCTAATCAGGCTCACTCAACGCGTCTGATACACAGAGCGCCCGTAGGGCTCCTAACATTAAGTGAACTAAGTAAAGTTAGTTATCTCAGTGGTTCCGGCAAAGCAATAGCTGTAGATGCACAGGGAAGAGAACGCATAGTTTTGAGTCTTATTCACAGGTTGGTATTAGCTAGGCATTTTCTTTTTTAAAGATTTATTTATTCTAGAGAGAGAGAGGAGTCGCGCTCAAGCTGGGGAAGACGCAGAGGGAGAGAGAGAAAATCAAGCAGACACCCCGCTAAGCACGGAGCCCAAGGTGGGGTGGGGGGCGGTGCTCATCCCAGGACCCGGATTTCGTGACCTGAGTCAAAACCACCAGTCCCATGCTCCACCTACAGAGCCACCCCAGGCGCCCCTAGCCAGGCATTTAAAAAGCTGGACCCTGGGTATTACTTTCGTATCTCATGGCATGTAATTAAACGAAGCTCAAAACTAATGGTTTAGCGCTCACGTTATTTTATTCCGGGCTCTATGGTTTAGCGCTCACGTTATTTTATTCCGGGCTCTACGTGGAGCTCAGAGAACACACTACCTCATAAGGACTACAAGACCCCAGGACAAAACATGTCAGGCCAAACACTGACTCAGATTTCCTACCGCACGGCGTTTTCCCAATGCGTGCTTTTACGAAGCGGGAGGAAACATACGTTCAGAGACGGGGTCAACGCACGACCTCTAACTATGCTCACATCCCCAGTGAACTAAAAACAAGAGAAAAATGTTGAACTACACTGAGACAACAATGTAGAAAAATTTCCGACGCTATCGGATTACTCCTGGACACCGGCGCGCCCCGCGACAGAAAGTTCAGCAGTTCCTGCGGTACGACGGGGGCGGTGCCGCGGCCGTAAGGCAGCGCCGCGAGACCACGTGGGCTGTGAGGCCACCCCGGGCGTCCTTGGAGGGTCTTGGCTCTGCGGGTAATGACCGGTCCCGTGCAGGGCGGTGGGGCGAGGGCCCTGGACCTGCTCCGGGCCCTGCCGCGTGTGAGCTTGGCCAACCTAAAGCCGAATCCAGGCTCCAGGAAACCGGTAAATAGCTGGTGGCGGTGCGGGGAAGCGCTGGGGGATGGGGCGATGGAAGCGGCCATTCACTCCCCGTCGTTTTCGGGGACTCCTTTTTCCAGAAGGGTGTTGGGATGAACTAGGGTTGCCGAGCCCTTGTTCTCCTTAACTGCACGGAGGAGAGTCTTCCCATATGGTCCCAATTCTCAGTAAGCATAATTATGTTAGGGCGGAGGAGTGAAGTCACAGAAACTACAAAATGATAGTCTCAGTGAAATTTAAAAAGAAGCACCTTCTCAGTATCTTTATTTTCGTGGGAAAGATTTTAATTGATTATGATAGATGTCTCCTCTGCAAATCACTGAATACAGCTAGAAAAGCTGTTGACATACTGTCATATTACTTACCTAATTTGAAAGATCTTATTTTTAAGTAATCTCTACACCCATTGTGGGGGCTATAATTTACAACCCTGAGATCAGGAGTCGCTTACTTGACCCACTGAACCAGTCAGGCATGGGGTACACTGTCATTTTAAAGAAATCAGTTCCTTGTTTTCAAGAAGTGAGAGGAAGTTAATTTAGGAAAAAATCTTTCTTTACAAATTAATGTATTTACAAATTTGTAAATGTCTTTACAAATTAATGCATAATGCTAATGTATTTACAATTCCAAAATAAATGTTCTGGAATATGATATAAACCTTGTTTGTTGGGGATTGATTCTAGGATTTTTTTCAATTCCAGTCCATCACAGAATTCACTTTGCCTTTGAAACACAGCTTGGACTTCACAGTTACAAGAATTCGCTACATCTTCAGAGGCAAAGATGCTAATTAAAGAGTGTTTGGGGGGTAGAGCAGCTAGAACAGGGCTTGACACATAGTAGTGTTAGCCAGTACTGGTTGGTTGGATAAATGAATGGCATCACAAAAAATATACAGCGAAAAGATGAAATACAATTTTTAAAAATGCACCTGCAGATCATACAAAACTCTCTTCTAGGAAAGACGACGAAGAGGTCGGAGAAGAGGTAGAAAATGTGGCCGAGGCCATAAAGGAGAGCGTCAGAGAGGAACTCGGCCCAGACTGGGCTTTGAGGGAGGCCAGACTCCATTTTACATTCGAATCCCAAAATATGGGTTTAATGAAGGCCATAGGTAAGGTTCCTTTGCTTTTTAAAGTAGAAATCCCTAATTTTCACTGACAGTCACCTAAAAAAGTAGCGTGGTAGAAATTTGAATTCCTTTTGAAGCAAACTTTTGTTGCTGCTTCTCTGAAACATTTTTGGTAATGAAATTTGGGCTGGATTAGTAGGGAAAAAAGCCTAGACTTTGTACTCATACCTGCAAATGGAGATGATAATGCCTGCTTTTATGGTTGGTTAGAGACTGAGCAATAATATCAGTAAAGGAAAACTATCTTGTTACTTTAAGCTCCATTAATGCATCATTTAAATAAAGTGTTACATTTTTGACATACTTGTTTGAGTGAAGTAAATGCTTAGAGAGGCAAATTATTTTAATGAAATGAAGTACTAGTTTTGTTTCATTAGCAAAAGCCAAGCAATATTATGTTTCTGTTGTACTCAGGAGAATTTTATTTTGTTAAGTCACCTAAATTGATGGAGGAAAATACAGGACAGAGCTTTGAGTTGATTTGAAGAATTTACAGGAAGATAAGCTTGACTGAGTTTTCCAATTATTACTTTGTTTTGTAGCTTCAGACACCAGTATCAGCCTTTGAGTCTCAATAGATTGCAGTATCTTATTGATTTGGGTCGAGTGGATCCTACTCAACCTATTGACTTAACTCAGCTGGTCAATGGAAGAGGTGTGACCATCCAGCCACTTAAAAGGGATTATGGTGTCCAGCTGGTAGAGGAGGTAAGTCTGGACTAGATTTTTTAGTGTTACATAGAAGACTATATCTGAATTAGTATAATCAACAATCTGCCTTTGTAATTTTTCTTTTTTTCTTTTTTTTTTTAAGATTTTATTTATTTGAGAGAGAGAGAGAGAGAGAGAGAGAGCACGAGAGGGAAGAGGGTCAGAGGGAGAAGCAGACTCCCCGCTGAGCAGGGAGCCCGATGTGGGACTCGATCCCGGGACTCCAGGATCATGACCTGAGCCGAAGGCAGTCGCTTAACCAACTGAGCCACTCAGGCGCCCTAATTTTTATTTTTTTCGAGTTGTCATATAACCATTACATAGTGGCGATTGATTGTGTTATAGTCATTTGTAGTTTGAGGAAGTTGGCATGCTGTATTGAGGGGCCTTTGTATCCTGGTTCTGGGGTGCTCTTCAGTGTATCCATTCATCTTGCTTCCTCCTCCCTTTGATACTCTGCCCAAATGTCTTATCAGGAAGATCTTTTCTGACATCCTTTTATAAAAGAATACTCACCGCCCCCCCTGCCCCACGAACAGTCATACTCTTGTCTGCTTTAACGTGCCCAAAGTATTTTTCTTTGAATATATGAACACCTGACCTGTATTACCAAGTAGTACATTTATTTTTTCACTCTCTCCTTCACTATAATGTAAGTTCTTTGAGGACAAGTACTTTGGTTCATTGCTATATTTTCAGTATTGGAAATATTGGGTCATGATAATTATGGAGAAAAGGAATGAATCAAATCCAATTCCAGTTGCAGCAAAGTTTTCTATTTATAGAAATTGGCGAAGAGTTTCATCAACAGTTAAAACTTGTTCATTAATACTTTTGCTTCTTGTCAGTAATACAGCTTTGTAAGTAACTTAGTGTCCACTAGAGGGAAGCATATGTTTATGGAAAAACCTTTTAGATGCCTTTAAAAAAGTGAACCTCGTGGATAAAAGTTTTCCAAATAAAATGATTTGAAAAGAGAATACAAAATACACTCTCAAGTCTCAGTATTCTATTCTGAGTATATAAGGGAATACACATATAAATTAATTTGGAAAAATCTTTGACTTTGTCAGCCAATAAACGGCACATTCCAAGTTTTCAGGCATGTGTCTATATTAAACGAGGAAAATAATCCTGAAAACTACACCAGGGCAACAGTTGAGTAAGTACAGTTAGTTACACATCATTTGTAGCTCTGTAAATTGGTTGACCTTTTCTGGATTTCAGATTTGTAATAAGTAATGGGTGGTAAGACTGTTTTAATCCTTCACAAAATTACCAATTTTGGAGTGTATGTTTTCAAGGAATAAAATAAAAGAAACCTATCTGATACAAAGAGACATTCCTAAAAATACTATTTATAATACTGAAAATGCTGGAACTAACTCTAATGCCCAAGAATAGGGAAATAGTTGGGAAATCTGGAATAGTAATTAAAATTCACGAATAATATGGCAAGACCTTATTGAGTCAAAGGTGCCATTGATTATAAAAATGTAGACCAGTTTCATAGAGGGAAAAGTGAGAAAATGTGTCTTAGAATTGATGGAATATTTTTGAAATACATGAAAACTTAATAAAAGGAACTTGATTGGGAGCCAGCTTGTTTCGACCACACCAAAATAGCAGAAAAATTCTATCACTACAAAAAGAATGGTAATACAAGCATCTTTTAATTCAGAATCTGTTTTGAAATAAGAGTAAAATGTAGTACATCCTAATAAAAGTGACCAAAAACAGAACTTTAGAAAAGTTCAGTTCTACATTTTTTAGTATTGACTATACTAGGGAAAAGTAGACTTACATTTTTGTCCTTTTAGAGGCTGTAATAAAATCAATAGTAAATGTAAAGTGAATCTCTGTTGTGCTTTTCTGCCTTTTTTCCTAGAGGGGGCTGATCCCTCCCAGGTCAGATTTTTTTTTTTTAACATTTTATTTTTAAGTAATCCCTACACCCAAAATGGGGCTCGAACTTACAACCCCAACATCAAGAATCACATGCTCTACTGACTGAGCCAGCCAGGTGCCCCTGTTGTCAGATATTTTGTTCTCCCAAAAGTTCCAGCATATTTGTCCCCTTGTTAACAATCTTTTGGTCTTTTGCTAACTTAAGGATAGAAGATAAGTTTTTTTCCATCTCAATATGGCAGAATGTTGTGTTTAAGAACACAGGTGCTGTGACTAGACTCCCTGGGTTAGAATCCTAGCTGTGTGAGGGGCACCTGGGTGGCGCAGTCTGTTAAGCCTCCTGACTCTTGGTTTTGGCTCGGGTCTTCCTGGTCTTGGGGTCGTGGGATCGAGCCCTCTGTGATTCTTGGCGCTCAGTACAGAGTCTGCTTAAGACTCTCTCTTTAAAATAAATAAATAGGGCGCCTGGGTGGCCCAGTTGGTTAAGCGACTGCCTTCGGCTCAGGTCATGGTCCTTCGAGTCCCGGGATCGAGTCCCGCATCGGGCTCCCTGCTCAGCAGGGAGTCTGCTTCTCCCTCTGACCCTCTTCCCTCTCGTGCTCTCTATCTCTCATTCTCTCTCTCTCAAATAAATAAATAAAATCTTTAAAAAAAATAAAATAAAATAAATAAATAAATCTTAAAAAAAAATCCTAGCTGTGTGATCTTGACAAGTTACTTAACTTCTCTGTGCTTTGGTGTTCCCATCTATGAAGTTGGCATAGCAATAATTTTGTCATAGGGTTGTTAGGAGGATTAAACAGTCTACTATTAATGAAGTACTGGGGAATGGATGCTTATATTGCTGTTTAATAAATATATAAAATGAAGATGTAGTCATCCCTGCTTACAGAGAATGAAAATTGGTAAAACAAAGTGTCCTAAAAACATAAAAAAAAATGCATGTTGTTTGATAGGACCTCAAAGTAGAGGTATTTAGAGTTGGAATTACTGTTGCATTATAAGCATTTTGGAGGAGAAAATACAATGTAAAAAGGAAGCTTGCCATGACTACTTTTAGCCAAGCTATCTACAAACAGGCTTTGCTTTGACCTATTACAGGGTGCTGACACCTTTAAGGCAAAAGTTAATATTGAAGTACAGTTGGCTTCAGAACTAGCCATTGCTGCAATTGAAAAAAATGGTGGTGTTGTTACTACGGCCTTCTATGACCCAAGAAGTCTAGGTAAGATGTCCTGCAGTCCCTTTCTTTTCCCGCTTTGTCTCCTACTGGCTGCCCTATGGGGATTTTAAAAGTCCTCCTAGCTCTCTGACTTGGCAGTTTGGACACGTCAGTTTTCTGTTTTAGGGCTTCCTGTTAGTGGTGTGACTTCTTGTAATGTATCTCAGTCAGTATGTATAAGAAGGTTTTTTGTTTTTAAACATGGGGCTTGCATATCATGTTACCTATGTCTAGAGATTCACTAATTGTTAGTAACCCAGGGATAACTTGGATTTTCAAGATGTAAATTTTTGAAAATGAAGTGTATCCATTTGCTTACTTAAGATAAATATATTTAATAAAAAAAAGTTCTTGGATTGAAGTGCTCATCTTGGTAGTATTTAAAAATTAATAAAGAAAATCATGTATATAGCCATTATTTGTATCTCTCTTTTTTATTTAAAATTTTTTCAGAAATTCTATGTAAACCCGTTCCATTCTTTCTGCGCGGACAACCCATTCCAAAACGAATGCTTCCACCTGAAGCACTGGTACCGTATTATACTGATGCAAAGAATCGTGGTTACCTGGCCGATCCTGCCAAATTTCCTGAAGCAAGACTTGAGCTTGCCAAGAAGTATGGCTATATTTTACCTGATATCACTAAAGATGAACTCTTCAAAATGCTTAGTACTCGTAAGGATCCAAGGCAGATTTTCTTTGGTCTTGCCCCTGGATGGGTGGTGAATATGGCAGATAAGAAAATCCTCAAACCTACCGATGAAAATCTCCTCAAGTATTACAGCTCATGAATTCCCTTCCAGGAAAGCAGAGTTGTAAAAGAGTTCTGGAAAACGGACTGAAACATGCTTATTTCTCATCATCTTTTCTTGATTTATAATTCTCTAGATGTTGATGTTAATTTTCCATGTAGCCCTATATCCATTTTTATCTAAAATTGAAATAAAAAATGGAATAAGCAAGGGCTGCATAGGGGAACTGAATCTGTGCGGGTTTTTTCTCAAAGAAACAGACTCCCTGGTTTTCTGCCAGAGGAAGATGGTAACTTTTAGGGTATTTCTTGTTCATTTTCTCATGATCTTCTCATCCAGGTCTTGTGTTATCATTGTTGCAAATCAGAATGGATGTGCAGGTGGAATGGAACTGACTTTTTTTTAAAGATATTTATTTATTAGAATGAGAGCAGAAGAGATCACAGAGGGAGAAGGAGAAGCAGACTGGCCGCTGAGCAGGGACCCCGATGTGGGGCTCGATCCCAGGACCCTGAGATCATGACCTGAGCTGAAAGCAGATGCTTAACCGACTGCTCAGTCAAGGTTAAAGCAGTTACTAACGGTGGCCCATCTTAATAGCCTCAAGGAAGCTCTGCTATCCAGTGTCAAGGTGAAAAGCCTTCAGCTCTGGATTATTAAGATGTGGGGTTTGAGCTTAAGGTTTAAATACAGTAAATAAGTAGTACAGTATTTACTAGAAAAATTGAAGCAAGAATTCCAAATGAATTCATTTTCTCAACTCATCTGATAAGAGTAGACAATGATAATTAAGCCATTAACCATCTTCTTGAAGAAGTGTTCTAATTCTAACTGATATTTTACTTATTTCATAGGTATTGGAGACCTTTGTTTTTCAGTCATTTTAAATGATTTTTGAAGAATTGTTCAGTGATTATATAAGCCATAAAAACAACTGGTAATGTGAAACTTTAACTCAGTTAATGTAAAAGATTCAGCAGTCAGCTTCTTTAGCTTTGCAAAGGTGTGTTGTACCTGAACCATACAAAAAAGCTCACTTTATCCTGCTGCAATTAAATCTTGAATAATTCATGATAATTTTTCCATAGGAAAAATAAAGTATTCCTGGCTGTTTATTTTCTTAAAATAAAAAATTTAAAAGCCTAAATGATGCAGTATTTTATTTTGTTAACTTATCTGCCTTCTATATTGCTGATCTGAGATTCTTTTTATAAAGTAATTTATGCACCAAAAGTATGTATATTTAAATTTCTATCCAGGATTATATAATTTGGCTTATTGAACCACTTCGTAATAAACCAGAACTTAGAAGAATCACTGTTAGGACCATCTTCTATGATAATCACGTATGAATTTCAAGGGACAGGCAAAAATTGTAAGAACTTTTTTATTTTTCAGAGACTCCAAGTGAGTTGGGGTTTTAGGATTAGTTTTGGCTCCATTGATAGGAACCACAAAGCACAGTGGCTTTAATGAGATAAAGGTTTTATTTTTTTTCACTGAAGTGCTGAGACCTGTTCAGAGCTGATTGGTGGCTCTCCTCTACAATCTCAGAGCCCATGGCTTTCTCCTTGTGTAGCTCTCCCATCCCTAGAGTGAGATGTACATCTTCATGATCCAAATAGGGATCAATAAGAGCCAACTTTTCCTAAGAAAGATTCCTGGTAGCGCCACACAAAACTTCTGTATACATCCCATTGGCCAGAACTTGGATACAGTTCCTTATGTCCTTAGCTGAAAAATTCCTTTAGGATGGGTGAGTAAGAGTGGATGTATTGGACAACCAGCAGGGGGTTGACACCTGTTTTGGTATTGACCAAATTTCAAACCTGAGGTTAACAGACTTAGACAACATAAAAAGTGCAGAAATCTTAAATTCTTTAATAGTATATTCACCATTCTGGAATGCTGAGTTCAGTAAGAAGTATTAAGTCAATAAGTTGATTAATTCATCAACCTTGGTAAGGAAAATGTTTTCAAAGGAATGATGACAAAGCACCAGAAAGCGTCCAAGGAGTCATTTACTTTTTCTCTGTGCCTGCTTTTTCTAAACATTTTAACAATAAAGCTATCTTTAACTTGCCATGTTAAGTATCTAAACAGTTATATTTGAATATAATGTGTGGAGGAAGAAAGATGATAGGTTGCAAGGAAAAATAGCAAGGTACAAAAATTTCAAAAACACTATCTGAGTTTTCTATATTAAGTATTTAAACTTGTGCCTTTATTCTTAAGCCATTTGAAATAGGGTCCATTAGAGGAGTCACTTTGCCTTTCTTAACTGTAAAATGCAGTGACAATCTGTATAATCCAAGAGATGTGTAAAGTGACCTCTAAGGTCTCTTTCAGCTCTAATGCCCTGATGATAAAGATGTTGCTTTGATGGGATGCCTGGGTGGCTCAGTTGGTTAAGGTGTTAAGCGTCTGCCTTTGGCTCAGGTCATAAACCCAGGGTCCTGTTGGGCTCCCTGTTCAGTGGGGAGTCTGCTTCTTCCTCTCCCTCTGCCCCCCTCCCCTGCTTGTGCTCTTGCTCTCTCTCAAATAAATGTTTAAAAAAAAAAATGAACTTCCCTAGGGGCGCCTGGGTGGCTCAGTCGGTTGGGTGTCTGACTTGATTTTGTCTCAGGTTGTGATCTCAGGGTCCTGAGGTAGGCTCTATCTGGCTCCAGGCTCAGCGGGGAGTCTGCTCTCTCCTCCCCGACCTCTCTCAGATAAATAAGTGAATACATAAATCTTAAAAAAAAAAAAAAAAGAACTTCCTTAAATTTAAACACATTCTGTTCTGTATCTGGGCATGAGGTATGGAAACAAAGACAAGAGATACCATTTTTTGTGTACCAGAGTGTGGGGACATTGCTCTAGGTAAGTTGGTGCCTCAACTTATTTGTGCTGCTGGATGTTTTCCTTTTGTGATTCAGTTCACAACTGCCCTTTTGGAGGGGCTGGTATTGCTTCAACAGGAAAAGTTCGTAATTAGAAATAATTAGAAGTTAGTCATGTAAAGATGGATTCCCTGGGCAAAAGCCCTCCAGTCTCAGAATGCACTTTTGAGGGCCCTTAGGTTCTCTTCTCCTTCCCTTCCCCATCCATGCACAATGACTAAGTCACCCTGAGTTAAAGATGGAAAAGGAGACAGGCAAACACAAGACTTGCTTAATTGTGGCTATGGCCGATAGGTGAAGGGAAATCAGGATAGAACGATAGAGGGAAGAATGAAAACAGGAAACAGATGTCTGGTGATGTAATGCTTGGATAGTACTTATTCACTGAGCCTGGGCTTAGTCACAAACAGCTGTATCCTGATCTTAATATTATAACTGTGCAGATAATTCTCAGCCCAAACAGGCACGTTCCACAAAATCTGTCTAAGGCAATCCCTAAATTGCTGTGTAGCAGGGAGACACAAGTTTATTTTAATTATGTAACAACACTGGATTCCCAGGTCCTGCTCTACTGCTGGTCATTTACAAGGATTATGAGGGCAAGAACACAGTGGCAGATGCTAGTAGCTTTATCTTGTTAAGATCACATCACTTGGAAATCTTAAGTAGAAAAGCAGGAAGTGTTGCGTCTAGATTGAAGTTCTTACCTGGTGTGTGGCTTCAGCCTGTTTTCAGTATACAGGATGGCCTATTTGCATGCAAGACTATAGAAAAGTTGAAGCTAATATGCATTAAAAAAGATTTTTTTGGATACCTCAGAAATAATTACTGTGGATTTCCTGTTGAGTTCCTGAGTTTTCTTTTATAAATGTTACTCTTCATTTATTGGAAAATGGAGTGGCTCTGGAATAGTAGAAAAAAATGTCAACTAACAGCAGAGTAACCTAACTTTGTGTCAGAGAATAAAGTATGCTAATGTTAATACAAATCCCAGACTGGCTGTGTCTCTAGATGCTTTGCTGGAGAGCCATATAGTATGGTGGAAGTTAGCACAACTTTCTCTGTCTAGTCCGGGCCTGGAATCCAGGCTCCTACAACATGTTGACATGGGTGTTCAGTTGTCTGAGTTGTGAAGCTGGGATCATAATATCCACCTCTTTTTTTTTTTTTTTTTTTTTAGATTTTATTTATTTATTCATGAGAGAGAGCCAGAGGGAGAAGCAGACTCCCTGTGGAGCAGGGAGCCCAATGTGGGACTTGATCCCAGGACACTGGGATCACAACCCCGAGCCGAAGGCAGACACTCACCTGACTGAGCCAGCCAGGTGCCCCATAATACCCACCTCTTTCTGTGCTTGGGGACTCAACCAGCTTACCTGTGGAGAGGCACCAAGCACACAGAGCTGGTTTGCAGAGCCACCAGGAGTGGTTTACTTGGGCTCAGATCCCAGTAACATCCTTGTGGCCACGATTTAACCTCTCATGCCTCAGATTCCCCTGAAAAATGGGGGTAATGATAGATCTGAACACATAGTTACAATGAGGGTTGAAAGAAGTCACTACTTGTAAAGCACTTAACACAACTCCTGGCACATAAGCGGCTGGGTTAGTGAATTCAGTTTCTTACAGTCCCTCTGATGTGGGAGCCACCCTATACATGTTACTTCCTTTTCTCCTTAAGATTTTCATGTAGGGTCAGTATCTTCTTAATGAAAGGCTTGCTGAACTTTCTTATTTGTATCAGGATCTGCTGAAATAAGTACATTTTGAAGAGTCAGCATGGTAGGAACTAGACCCAGAACCCGGAGGATTAAGTTGAATTTCAGTGATGTAGCCACTGATTTGCTCTGCCATTAATTTATAAAAGGCATCTACCTATCTGGAAAAGGTACTGAAATTGAAAAATAAAAAATCTGGAAACTACAAAAGGGGAAGAAAAAAAGTTTTTCTAAGATTTCATTTTTTATTTGAGAGAGAAGAGAATGAGAGCACAAGCTGGGGCAGTGGCAGAATCCCTACTGAGCAGGGAACCTGACATGGGACTCGATCCCAGGACCCCAGATCATGACCTGATCTGAAGGCAGACACTTAACCGGCTGAGCCACCGGGGCATCCCAAGAAAGGAATTCTTACTTCCTAAGTGAAGAGGTCAGTAGGAGCTGTTTATGTGTCATTATCGTCAGATCTCTCATTTTATAGCTTCACAGCTTTGTAGTTTTGGTCTGCCTTTCTCCTCTTCCCTGCAGCCTCCATGTTTGTTGATCCACTGGCAAACCATTTCTGCTGCAGCCCCTTTCCATGGTAAAGACGATTCCACCCCCTTCAAAGAGGCTCTGTGTCCTTGGCCTGGCTAAGGCCTGGCCTCTCCAGTAAGCACTGATACCCCTCTTTTTAAAAGGTCAGGTTCATCGAGGTGTGATTTGCATCTAGTAAAGGCCTCTGGGTGTACACCTGAATTGTAACAACTATACAGTCCTACAACCAACACCATCACCACCACAGTAAAGACAGACTATTTCT